GAATAAAAGATGCAATTACAAATGTATTTCTGTAACAATTATCATCAACAAGCTGTACTGATGAATATTGAACTAGTTGTCATTGTTCATCAACAAGTTGTCTTTAACCGCACTATCCACAAGCTAAACATTTTTCGAGATCATTTTTTGCTTTCCTGCATTCTAGCCTTTCGATCTGTCTTAACCCTACCCTAGTCGTGTCATACTATCTCGTCTCGTAATAAGAATTAAGAGACAAGAACTTAACGCTCAACAACTATGAAATACCAAGTATCAATACTTTTTTCGGATCCCAATCGAGTGCACTACTGTGGCCATAAAATACTCAGGGTTTTTACCGGATAAAAATAATAATACGAACACATTTTTTAAAACACAGACAGGCAAAAAATTCCGTCCAATTGATTTTTTTTTCATTTTCTCGTTAAAAGAAAATTCTGCTCTTAATTTGTCTCATTGTTTTAAAAAAACACCGTTATCAATATTTGTTGCAATGTTTTAAATTGGGAATATCAATTAGAGGTAAGCACACTTAATCCTTAATCCAAACAAGGAGAAAGGATTTTTCAGTGTTTGATTTTTACGGAATTTAAAATGTTTATTCAGTCTCATTTGAATTCTGAAGTAATAAACTGTTTAGTTTCCATCATTGTTTTCTTAATTTCAATTTTTCAACTTAAAAATGCCACTTAGTACTGAGGATGTTGCGTATGGTGTGGCACTAATTGGTAATGGACGTTCCATCAGGTATGCGGATAATGCCATCGGAGTTCCCTTCGAAACACTGCGAGACGCCGTTAGACCTTTTCGGGAAACTGGGTCCTACCATACAAGGCACGGGTCTTGACGCCCTAGGGTATCAGAACCACAAGATGACCGTTTTTTTTATTTTGAGAATTTTACGAAACCGGCACCTTACTGTTGTTCAAGCGATTCATCGGCTCCAGGAAGTTCGACGTGTCCAAATTTCTGAACGCACTGCTCGAAAAAGATTAAATCAGTATTGACTAATGGCTTTTCGACCCGTAAGAGGACTAGAATTGACCAGAACACACAGATGCACGTCTTGCATTTAGTCAAGAAAACAATCATTGGTCTTTTGATGATAGGTCTGCTGTACACAGATGAGTGTAGATTTGCTCTACGATCTCCAGATGGGCGTGAAAGAGTGTGGAGAAATAGAAATGAAAGGTACAAAACTCGAAATTTTTCCCAGAGCCAACCTTTTCAACATAGCTCAGTGATGGTGTGGGCGGGAATTTCAATGGAGAGTCGCACAGAATTGGTTGTTGATCGTGGAGGGTCTTTCACGGCCACTCGCTAAGTGGATGAAATTTTGGAACATCATGTTATCTATCCTCGATGAAATCAGCGACAATCCTATTCTAATGCACGATATTGCCCGTCCACATGTCGCTCGCATAGTACAAACGTACCTTCAACAACATGACATCAGTGTCTTAGCCTGGCCAGCCCGTTTTCCAGACCTGAACCCCATCGAACATTTATGGGATAACTTCAAAAAACGAATAAGAGCACGTCCATCACTTCCTGATACACACCACGAACTTGAAAGGACTCTTCGTGAAGAATGGGCTATCCTCCAGGAAAGAGACATTTCCAAACTAGTAGAAAATATGCCGAGACGTAAGATGTAATTAAGGTAAAAGGAGGAAATACGTGATATTGAAATATTAATTAAAAATCTAAAACAAAATTAAAACAAATTTTATTTGTCCGTATTTTTTTCCTTAGCATTTAACATTTTTTTAAACTTTTTTATATAAAGACTCAATTATTACACGTTAAAAAACGATTAATATATAAAAATGTATACAAATCAAGTTATATTAAGAGTGGGTAGAATTTTGTGCCTGTCAGTGCATTAAATATAAGTACATGTTACATTATTTTTTTACATGCTACATGTTTACATTATTTTAAAAAAATTGTTCGGATCAACAATTGGATTGATTCAAGGTTGGTCAAGGTGTTGGAGTTGTTTTTTTCCTTATGTGGGCAACGATAAATACTTCCAGGGGGCGAGGCGTTAAAAAAAACCCTGTCATCAGCTTTCCCCAGTATCGCGTGAGGTTCAAAATTACCCCCTGTCCGCCTGACCATATCCCAATATTTCGAATCTGTTATTTACCACGAAATAATAAATTTATCGCGTTATTTTTGACATCGGCTTCTATGAGGCGGTTACAAACAAAGTTGAAAATCCAAGAGATTTTACGAAGTTTTATCGCAGTATGTTCAATTCTAATTTAAATCATTTCATATAAAAGTAAAACTGAGAGTTTAAGCCATACCAATAATTAAAAATTACAAATGACGAGCACACGTAATTGACTTATACAAAAGTTGTGTAACTCGAAAACCAAACTTTGACTACAAGGTGAAAATTATTAGTACTTTGATTGAATAAAGCAGGCGTGTTTGGCTAGTAGCTTCATAAAGTCGTCAGTCAACATTGATCCCTCATAAGTCTACAAATGTTTACCATAGTGGCTTATGTAGATTAAACGTCTCCACCCTTTCTTGGAAAATAATAAATAAAAAAAAAATAATTACAATGAGACGTTAGTGATATAAACAAGATGCTTCTCTAATCGATGTTGAGAATTTCAATCAACAAAAACTATTCTTCAGGATGGACGGTTATTAACCCTAGACCACTCTGGAATGAACAAAAATATAACTGGATTTCACAAGTAAAATAATTATTTAAAAACGTAAATAATTTAGAAATGAAGGACGGGCAAAACAGTGGTGGACAAATTCAGCTGCAATCAAGTTATTTCTTATTTTATAATAGAAAATTCTCGTTGAAATTGTCCTTAGTAAACAAACGAGCTAAAATGTCACCAGTGTACATAACAAGCTAATCTCTCCATCCAACTAAGTCAGTTATCTTGAACTTTATTTGGATAGCAGACTAGCCATGCGACGCCACCCGATGCTACCCGACGCAAATCCAAACTCCGATTTTCCATAAGGTTGCATTACCCCCGTGCACTTCTTCTCGATGCTATGCCACGCTAACCTACCCGATGCTACCCGACGCAAATCCAAACTCCGATTTTCCATAAGGTTGCATTACCCCCGTGCACATCTACCCGATGCTATGCCACGCTAACCCACCCGACGCTCTGCGATCCCATGTCCAGATTTTCGTCAGGTCGAGTACAGTCGAAGACAAAAGAACCGGACACTCATATTTTTATTCAAACTACATGTATTATTGTCGTTATATTAATTACAACATACTTATTTTAATATAAACCAAATTAACTGTGATTAAAAATCAATTAGTTTTTATTTAAAAAATTTATTTGAATGGTTTGGTAGAAAATTAATCAAAACACCGGAATGCGATTTTTTGATATAATGAATTTAACTAACAATTTATTATACTCGCTTCGGCGGTACATTTATTACACGGTTTTGCTCATAAAAGTTAATTAACAATTTATTTCATAATTTTGCTCGTAAAATTACACCATTTTGTAATGTCGGGTAGCATCAGAACAGGACACTCATATTTTTTGTAGTATATTTCAAACTAAGTACATGTAATTTTGTCGTTATATTAATTACAACATGTTATTTTAATGTAAACCAAATTAAACGAGATAAAAACTGCATTTAATATGATGGTTAGGGGTAACTTTATTTAAAACAATTAAGTTTAACAAACAATTTATTAGATGGTGGTGCTCATAAAATTTAACTAACAATTTATTACAAGGTTTTGCTCAAAATAGTGCATTAAGAACAAAAGATGCGTTGCGATTGTGATAGTGATTATTGTGACAAATGCTGTGGGCTGTACGCTACGTGTACTTGCGTCGGATAGATGTGCACACCCCACCAAAACGTGGCAAGGCGTCGGGTAGCGTCGCATGGCGTAGCATCGGGTAAGTGTGTTTCTGGCTTTACTTAAAATCCAAATACTAGACAAAAAGACAAATATTCAACGAAACACATTTTCAGACAACAAGTCGGGTTGTAACCACATTATTTAACATTTTATTACGGGCTAATTTCACCAAACTCCTATGCAAGTGTCTAATATTTTCCGATGTACTAACATCCTTTACAATTTCATGCAAATTGATGGGGAGAGCTGTGAGCCGTGGTAACTTTGTGAATGCAATTTCGGTCATTTTTACAAATATTTTTTTTCTTGGCCACAGAGACCTATTGGACGGTACCGTCGGACACTTGTCTAATATTTTTCGACCGAGTATCACCAAAAAAGGTTTCATTGAAATCGGTTACCTCATGACCTCACCTCCTCTTGTAAATATGCCTAAAAACTAACGCACACAAAACACTCATTACCGATTTGGACTTACAAAGTTGAACAGTGGGCCACATACTCCATCATCCAATAAACCGAACATTTCCGAACCAAAGTTCATCGCCGCATATTCAACGCTCCCTTCTAACTCATGAATCTCACGATTTACAAAATTCCGGATACGTTCGTGAAGGATCTGATCCGGATATGTTTCCACAATTACCACTCCAAAATCTCCACCCAGACCCATTAGCTCAAACTCTTTCCCCAATATCTCACCCCTATCATAGTTCCAACTAAATAACAGCAAGTTCCAGCCGACGTTGTGTTTTTTGTTTTTTATTGTTGGTGTACCGTATTGAATTACACCGCTGTCATAAATCTTCTGCATATTTGGGCCTGTTTTGATATTGTATATTCCTTGATATTCAGAGCCTATCTGTTGATGTGGATCATTAATTAAAAGCAGTGATACTCTCACTGTTTATACATAACATGAACATTACACTTATTCTCAAGAAATTTCAGTCTTATTTTATCAATCTACATCAAGTTGGGAAAAAAACGTTTTGTTTAAGGAGTTAAACAAATAGTGTTGTTTTTAACAGAAGTGACTTTCTATAACAAAACTTGTTTTATTGTTGTATTGCATATTATAACGACGATTTACACGCCTTTCAATTGATTTCAGCCACAAGAAGTCAATATAGTACGGCCGAGAACAGTGCTTGGAGGAGGATATTGGGGGAGTAGGCCTCCGAGTCCTGGGGGAAGCGAGACGTCGTCTGTGATGCCTCCCAGGCCGAAATCAAGAGCAGCGCCCTCAGCACACGAAGCGAAGTACAACAACCTCAATTACTGGAGAGCCAGAAAGGTACTTTCTTTCAAATATGGTCAGGTATTAAAACAAAATTGATCTTTTTACAAGGTTTTTCTTGTAGGACTAGGCATAACCAATTGTGTTGTACGGTTTCGTTCATTTTTGTCTGTATATTCTCGCTATTTTGGTCTGTCAGAGGCATTTTGGACAAGTGAAGATGTTGAGATGTCAAAATACCAAATTATCGAAAATAGGCAATGGTAGAAAACGTCCCAACTTTGTATTTAACTTTACTAGATAGTTGGATAATTGAATTCTACAAGAGTATCTGCGATTATTTGTATTATTGGAAATTTTTAGTATTATTATAGCTTTTATTTTTTTGTTTTTAACTCCAACTAGATTGGAAATATAAAAGATTGTTATAAATTGTTGATAAGTTTTTATCTTAGTCATGTTAAATCAGGCAATACATGTTAACATAATCGCCAAGTGAAATTCGACTATAACGATTCCGCTTATAGCGATAGTCCGGATGTGAAACGGGTGTTTAGTTTGGTTTGCTATGTAAAAGTGAAGAAATAAATCCGGATGTAACGATGTTGTTTATAACGATATTGTGTCTATAACGATATAAAACTAAAGAAAAAATGTTTTTTTTTTTTTATTCCGTTTATAACGATTTAACACAAAAATAATTCGTAGAATACCTAGTTCTATTTTCAAACGTAAACAAGTCTTGTCTCTTTCCAATCGTTACTCGGTACTCTTTAGGTATGACTCCTTCCTTTTTTCACCGAATTTTATCCCACCCCTATCCACAATTTTCTTTGAACACCCTTCCTTCTATCGTATTTACTGCGCACTATTCCTTCAAAATGCGAGTTTAGAATTTTAGATTCAGTCTTCATTTTTTCCTTGTACGAGATGGCGTCGAATAAACGCCGCGCGTTTTCAATTGAAGAAAAAGTGAAAATTATACGAAGGATTGAGAAGGGAGAAACTATCAAAAGTTTAGTTTCCGAGCTTAACATTTCACAATCAACAATATCAACGATTTGGAAATCAAAAGAAAAAGTAAAAGAAATTTTCGAAAAAGATGTCAAATCGAAGAGAAAGCTTCGTAACAGCCAACCCGAAGAGCTTGAAGCAGCTCTTTTGGAGTGGTTTACGATGCAAAGAAGAAAAAACATTCCGATTAGTGGGCCCATCTTGCAAGCAAAAGGAAATGAGTTCGCCAGGATCCTGGGTAAAGAAGATTTTCAATGCTCCATGTCTTGGATGACAAGGTTCAGGGTAAGGCACAACATCGTGTTTGGAAAGATCAGCGGAGAATCTTCAAGTGTACCAGCCGGAGTGTCCGAAAGTTGGCTACAGTGCATCTGGCCTATAACTCGGGAGAATTTCGCTGACGAAGACATTTACTATGCCGACGAGACCGGATTGTTTTACCGATTGACGCCGGACAAGACCCTTCGATTTAAAGGGGAATCGTGCCATGGTGGGAAGCACTCAAAAGAGAGAGTTACAGTCCTAGTCGCGAGCAACATGACGGGAACAGATAAGAAAAAATTATTAATCATCGGAAAATCGAAATCTCCGCGTTGCTTCAAAAATGTCCAAAAACTTCCGCTAGATTATACCCACAATAAAAAAGCGTGGATGACGAGCGAGATTTTGTCCGACTGGCTTCGCAAATGGGACGAAGAGCTTCAAAAGAAGAAACGAAAAATTCTTCTCACTGTAGATAACTGTCCTTCTCATCCGTCAGTCCCAAACCTAAAAAACATCGAACTTTATTTTTTACCACCCAATACGACATCAGTGCTTCAGCCCATGGACCAAGGCATAATCAAATCCCTCAAAGTGAAGTTTCGTCAACGTTTGGTTTTAAAAATGTTGGACCAGCCAGAAAACTCTGGTGTCTCTACTTGACGCAATCCTAATGATTTCCGATTCCTGGGACGACGTCACTCAAAAAACCATTCAAAATTGCTTTAGACATGGTTTTGGAAAAGACGAAACGAGAACCGACCAGTAAGACGACGTGAGGAACTTTAATGAATGGGCCCAAGAGCTCGATTTCAATTTTCACGGCGATGCAGAGTCATACGCAGAAGTTGATGCTAACATCCTTACATCAGAGGAACCGACCGAAGAATCAATCAAACGTGGCGTCTATTTTAAATAAGAATAAAGTGGAAGAAGATGAAGATATCGGCGAGACTGAAGTTGATCTTTTCCGTACTCCGACTCTATCAAAAGTGTACAACGCTCTTGGTGTCATTCGCACATACGTCGCCCTAAACGATGACATAAATAAACCTGAAACTGCAACTTCCTTAAAAGAACTTGACGAATATGTGAGCAAAAATTTGTACTTAAAAAAAAGCAAACTAAAATTTTAGATTTTTTTGTCAAAAAATAAAGAATAAAATATGTATGTACATAAATAGCAATTACATAAATATGATTATTAGTTATTCCTTTAATTTTTTTTATTGTATACTTATAATAATACATATTACGCATTTTTTTAACTTGTAAAAATTGAATTAGGTATATACTTATATTTAAAAGTAAATAATACATATATAAAACTATAAGCTATAAAACTGGGTTTTTTCCTCCCCCTCTCATTCCGGTTATAACGATCAATTTTGCCTGGTCCCTTCAATATCGTTACAACCGGATTTCACTGTAGTAACTTTGGAACAATAATTTAAATTTCTCGTGTTTTTTTTTTCTCGAGGGGCAACAGAGAAAGTGTTATGGTCCCAGTGTATTCACCCTTCAAGGTACCCGAGTTACCATGGGATATGCAAATGCGTACTCATCGATTTCAAGGAGCCGGCCCCATTCTTCCTGCCGATCCGCGGTGATACCCAGAAGTCTGGCCGCACTAAAAATAAACCGTTGATCGAGGTCGTGACGACTGACGTTTAAAATGTCGACAAAGAGGAAAATTGGTACAATAAAATTTGTAGGACTGGTTGAAGTTTGCTTTACAGACTCACAAATAGAAATGTCTTGCTGATTTTCTACTATTCCGCGTTTGGTTTTTTTACAAAAATGGACTTTAGATTTCAAATTATTGTGTCAAATGTATGTTTTTAACCTTAAAATCAAACCTTTTACATTTTTTATTCGTAAGCAATTAACTAATCACTTTATAATACAAAACTGTGTTTTCTGCTGAGTAAACAAAAGAATAATTAATGATTTTATTACTAGTTTATTTATTTTTTATCAATTCTTGAATTTAATTGTTTAATTGGTTTTCACCTAGCCTCTCAAGAAAATCGTTACCATCGTAAAAGTAAGGCTCGTTGCATGATATAACCATTGCATTTGTCAATATTTTAAATAGTACCAGTTGTAGTTGCCGAACACACTTGTTCAAGTGCTTTTCCAGAAGAAAATAGAACGTTGTAAAACGAATAAATTGATTTTCACTCCCCCTTGACCAACAACTGAAAGTAGCACGCGATACAATCAGCATGAGTGGCCCTCTTGTCCCAAAGCCCAAGATTATCAATGTTTCAGGATCAAGTCGATCCCTCGATAGTACTCTCAAATTCCTTACAATAGCTCAGATAGCTTTATTAGAGAATTTAAAGAAAAAACATTTTTCTGAGATCAATAGTACTGTGATAATGTTGAACGTATGTTTCATTAGAGACATTTTATTTCGTTTTTTCTTATAATTTAATACTTGGCTACAAATAGCAAATGTTTAACCTTCAAAACTATGATAGTTAGATAGATGATAAAACGTAAAATTACTATCGTAATAAACAAAATCGTTAACTTTAACGGGCTAACCCATGTTCTTCAATTTTATGACACTTGGGTATATTAATATTGTTGGCTATTGTTAATATATTTTTCTCTTCTTTACTCTCAGAATAAAAAAGATTTTATTCAAGCTTTTTTGTTGATACTAGCAAGAAAAATATTAGACACGTGTCCGAGCGTTCTTCCTAACGTTCTCTAGAGACCAAGAAGAAAATATTTACAAAGTAATTTACATTTTTTTTAATATTAAATAATCCATTATATTTAGTGGTCTATTGACCAAATTACTTCTTTTAATTAATTAATCATTTTATGTAAGGTTTTGGTTGAAATGAAAAAGCTAGTGCCACGAGCGGGATTTGAACCCACGACCTTCGGCTAAATACGCCACTGATCCACCAAACTATAACTCAAGTGGTAGAGCAGCGGCGAATTTACCCGAAGGTCGTGGGCTCGAATCCCGCTAGTGGCACTAGCTTTTTCATTTCAACCAAAGCCTTACATAACAATATTAAATAATATTCACAGTTGCGTTGTACTGTAAGGTTGTGTTGTCTAAAGCTTTCCTAAAAGTTCAGATTTCGTGCCAATTCAAGAGACAAATTCATACAAAATTTATATTCCGCGCAACTCATTAGAAGAGTTATTGTCGTCAGCTCAGGAATAATTAAGACGCAGTGAGGAAAACTACTTGAACTTGACGAACCATTATCTCTCTCTGTCCCGCAAAAACCATTCTCTCTTGATGAAGTCAAGCAGGCCATCCGAAACCTTTCAAAAAAGAAAAGCCCAGGTTATGACCTTAATCATTCCTATCATCCTCTGAACCATCATCTTCATAACACACCTATTCAACGCCTTCCTAAGCACAACCTATTTTCCCACCCTTAGGAAATTTTCTTCCATCAGGATTCTCTCAAAAGCTAAGAAACCTAATCACTTTCCTAGCTCCTACCGACCCATCAGTCTTTTACCCATTATTGGCAAAATCCTGTAAAAGCTTATATTAAAATTTCTACAGACAGAATTCCCCATCATTAATTCGGCTTTCGGAGTTGCCACTCGACTATACAACAAGCACATCGCACAACTGACGTAATCTCCACATCCCTTGAACTAAAACAATAGAGGCCTTTGACCGAATATGCCTCTTTCTTTCACGCTTATAAATACATTCATTCGAATAAATTAACATAAACACAACAAAAACACTGTTCACGTTTCTTTAGCGTCTGCTTTTTTGTTCCCGACTATCCACACATGACACAAATAGTGACCGAACTATTTTCCAACTGCGCTGATCACTTTTGTCTTATTTATTAGAGGGCCCGTGGGGATTCTTCTCCTGAATTTGTTAATTGTATAAGATTGGATATATAAAAAAATTAAAAACCAAACAAAACAACGCTTCCAGTAAAGTATGTAAGGCAAGAAACAATTATTTGTTCCAATAAGCGATTTGGATTCGTTTTAAGCACAATTAAAGCTCTTAAATTTTATATTAATAAAAAATAAACAATTTTGGTCTCGATTAGCGGGGAGAGGCAATTTTTGTCTTCCCGATGTCTGCAGGTCCACTTAAAAATGCATAACTCGTCTGGATTTTATCCGTTGTAAACAGTATTAAAACCGTTGGAAATCTAATGTTTACAACTTTCTGTCTGTGTAAACAACTTTTGACATAATGACATTATAAGTGCGAAAATAAAAATAAAAAGTTTTATATTTTATATCCAATTCAAATTTATTTACAAAAGCATAATTTTAAGTAATTGACATCGGTAATAAAGTTTTCTGTCTTTGTTGAGCATGTATTTCACGGATTGCATAATGTACATGCGAATTTTCATAGTAATAAAAAATTGAATATTTACATTTATTTTTTCGTGGATTGGCCGACGAATTTTTTCTCGATGATATTTGATGTTTCACATAAAATTTGTTAACACCACTAGATTTAACCAAATTCAACGATACTATAACTTTTAGAAAGCATGATGTCTATTCGTTCAGAATGTTTTAAAAGGGATAGTTTTTTAGTGTTTAGTTTAGAAAGAAATCAACATAAACTCCTCAAACGTTTTATTTTATATCCCCGTTCTCATTTATTTACAGATGCCATATTTATGGCATTGCGTTTACATTATTAGGATCAAAACCTCTGTAAACTTTTCTGTGGATCAGTGAAATTTTTTCAAAGTCATCGCCATTTTTATAATTTTTCGAGTAGTAGAAATTTGATTTGAGAAAAAAATTATTTTTGCAGTTTGTGGTATGATGTATGTTTGTTGCACATTAACAAACAATAGTTCAATATCCTACCATATAAGTAAAAAAACATAACCAAGGAAAAACTCATTTAAAAACCACGTAATGAAAATCATTTTTTGATCTTCCCAAAAATTGTACCTTTTTTATGCAAAAAACGAATATCACTTTTTTTTTTACTAAAAGAAATATATTTTAACCTATTTTAATACGTTGATCATAACGTAATACATATGTTACCTATGGAAATACACAATTTAAGACCGAGGGACGGATAAATCAACCATTTTGGCAGCTACCGTTGATTCTGGTCTGTATATCTTCATTTTTCTATTATGGCTTATCGTTATCCTGATAGACCAAGATAATTTCGGACGTTGAATCTACATAAATTTATATATTTCTTAATGTTTGGAGGTTAAAGGTTTTTGCGTTTAAATAGATCATTGTTTTAATTTTCATTAATGAATTAATTAATAGATTTTAGTATTATAAATATATTTGCATATGTGTTGGCCTAGTCAATTATTAATAGTTTTAAAGTCCTAATAAAGGTAATGCATTCAACGAAAGATCGACGCAAGAATTGAGTGTTTTCTTTGAGATTTGCCTTATCCCTGAATTTTAATAAAACAAAAATCATTTTTGTCACTACGAAATGCATATTGTTTATCTAGGTAACTTGCTTAAGTAATTTATGTCAGTTTTTGCTCTTGTGTTGTTTGCGATGATCAGGTTGTTAATTATCTACGTATGGTAACTACTGTTATGTCTTTTTTCTTACTGTTTGTACTTTCGGCATTTAATCACTCTGTCATAAATTCCACTAATTTATTTATGTCATAGTTTGAGCGTTTCTGCTAATTTGGGTTGTTGATAGGGAGTGGTGATACTGTTTCTACTTAACATCATTTATGTTAATGTTTTGTCGGGAGGAGGGTTGAATGCATAATGTACATAGAAATAGGTGTAAGAGTTTTGGTTTTATTAGCATTGTTTTATTTCTGAACGTTATTAATGAGAATCTGACAATACCAACTTGACCAATGTAGTTTTTTTTCTTTTTGTATTACGACATCATTATAGTTACATTACCAACTTCTTCATAAACTAATCAATGGAATTTTACCCCTTCAGGTCACCTTCTACAAAAATGGGGATCCGTACTTCCCGGGGCTTGAGTTCAGATTTCGGCCTGGGCGAGACGTGGGCACTTTGGAGGCTCTCCTCGACAAGCTATCTCTCAGGATGGACTTGCCCAGGGGAGCCAGGTTCATCTTCGGCCTCGACGGCGAAAGGAAACACCTTTTGGAAGAACTCGAGGACGGCATGTATTATGTCGTTTCCTCATACAAGACATTCAAGGTGAGAAAGTTTATTACGAAGTTCAATCAATCTGTATTGACAGAATATGAAGTTTCACGGCTGGCGAGGATTCGTAAGAAAAATCAACATTTACTGTTTTCAACGTTTATCCCGTTTTCCTTTTTTTAAGACTTTCGGATTCAACTTGTTCATCTAAAAACACCCGTTGATATGCACTTTACAGCATTAATGTTGTTACTACATTTTTATTTCTAAAACAGTAAACTATTCCTTCTTTTAAAATTCAGACAAAAATAGACATTATATGATATTCTTAATAACATCACTTTTTTTTTTAATTTTCTCTTTATGAGAGAATAGGAATAATCTAATTTTATGTTAGACACTTCTCTATGATTCTTTTATATTTATGTGCTAGAGATTAAAGTGTTTCTTTTAGTTTTAAATCACTGTTTGAAAAAAAACAAGCAACTAAAAGAATAGCTCAGTTATAAAAAAAGTATTTTTGCATGTATTCTGTATAAACAACGTCATAAAATATATATTTATTACATTTACATAATATTATAGCCTTCCTTCGTATATTTTCATATACCGTTAAATTTAAAAAAATTTCATTCAATTATTGTCTATGATTTGTATGCGTTTTAGGCATGAACTTCTAAGAAAAATATTGCTTTTAATATAAATAATGATAAACCTTCAACATTATTTACATTTAGAAAACCTAGCAGAGATGAAATTATTTTGGAAAGAAAATATTCAGTTCCTCTGTCGAGTCATCAATGGAATGTCCTCTTCTTCAGGACTATGAAGATATAAATATTATTATTAATGGGTTGTTTAAATTCTTTAATACATCTCACTGGTACATTACTAGAAAGTACAAATAAAAAATAACGCCAACTGAGATGCTTTAAAAATTAAACATCCCATTAACCTTAACAAGTACCCACCAACGAAACAACAATACTATACTATAAATAATAGTTTAAATGGTCAATTTCAATTTTAATTTCCTTTAAAAAAACATTGGTTTATGAATTGTGTATGTATATATTTGTTAAACTTTAAAATTACTTTTTTAGTGTCATGGTCATGAAAAATATATTTTTCTTAAAAGTTCGACAAAAGAACTGATTTTTTAAATTTATTTTTTTAAATTACCTCTTTTTTCAAATAGCCTCATCTTTGTGTTTTATTGTTAAATATTTGTTTTTCCTAGCTAAAGTAACCCTTAAGTCAATGAGTTTGTTTCCACCAGTTCCCATTGTGATTACAGTGCATTTTTAAAATAACTAATATTATTCATATATAATCTATAAGAACTATTGCGTACAATATAATTTCATAATATCTGTTTTATTACTATTTACAAATTATAATTATAACATAGTCTTCTTCAAGTTATTTATTTATATTATTATAACTGTCTAATTTGTGTTCTGTGTGAAAGAAGTAGAAAACCAACTTTCTGTTCAAGAGAGATTGAAAGAGAAGAGAGAGAGAATGAGAAGGATAGGGTGGGAGGGAGGAAGCGAAAGAGAGGAAATATTTAAAAATGATATATTCAGTTTTTGTAAATTTAAACAATTAAATACAACTTAGATTATAATAAACGACGTTCAGGAGCGATTCAGCCAGGCCAGAACACTTTGGTTTGCTAGTAAAAATTATAAACTTTTGGCATGCTAACATGACTTGACTCTATGACTACTATCGCCTTATAGTTACATATTTCATTTGTAATACAATTATTTTGTGGCTGAGATTGTTGGTCAAATTGGACGCTCACTATCTCCAAATTAATTCCAAATCTTCACAGTAAAGATTGGTATTGTAAGTGATTATTTATCTGTAATTAAGGTTGGATTTTACCATTATTAATTTTTAAAAAATTGAAAAAAGTTAAATATATAATATCTGTATGGCATGGTGGAAAGGGTACTAGGAAGCGGGGTTTGTATTCCCCAGGCACTGCAGCCTTCTGGCTTATTGTACCTTCCTAGTTCCTTAGTTCAGTTCAATAGACTCAATCCTTCTTCTTAGAAGTATCAGGTCATTGACTGTTGTTGCTGCAATTTGATTCCCTAAGTCTTTTCCGTACGTTAGGTTAAACCTCCATTGAGCTGTTGCTTCGCATTCGAAGATGATATGAGTGGCTGTTTCCTCCGTCTCATTCCATAATCTGCAGATGGGATCATCGCTGTATATACCCATGTTGTGTAGATGTTTTCTCAGATACCAGTGACCGGTTAGTAATTCCACCACTCCTCTGAGTTTTGTCCTCTCCAATTGCAGCAGTGTTTTTGCCAATCTTGGTGAGGGTTGTTTCATCATAAGTTTACTATGTCTAGCACCGCTAGAGTTTATCCACTTCTCTTTTTGTTTTGCTTGGATCCATTCTGCGATAGAGGATTCTATTTTTGTTTTTGTTATCCCAAGGATAGGTTCGTGGTCTATGTTTGGTCTTGCAGATCCTCCTCTGGCCAGTTTGTCTGCTTCCTCGTTACCCAAAATTCCCCTGTGCCTGGCAGCCAAGATATCATCAGGTTGTTGTGTTTTCCCAGGTTTTGGAGATTTTGGATGCATTCACTGACTAGTTTTGATGTAATTATTTTACATGCTAATGCTTTAATGGCTGCTTGGCTGTCTGATCTTATGAGGATTTTTTGTCAGTGTAACCTCTTCTAAGATTTTCCAGGGCACAAGCATTGATGGCATGTATTTCCGCTTGAAAGACTGAAGTGTACTTCCACAGTGAGTATTTCCGCTCATATTTTGGGCTTGTACAGAAGGCCTGATCCGGTTCCTTCGTTTGTTTTGGAGCCATCTGTGTACCATATCATTGTATCTGATGCTCTCCTATGTTCTTCCTCTCCTTTATAATCTGTTGAGACTATAGGAAGTTGTGAAGATTGTTTCCGGGACCATGTAGTCAGTCTCCATTTCTAATAATGGGTGTCTGATTTTGTTGATTATGGTTGTATGCCCGAATTGTTTAGTTCCTTTCCAATTTAATTGTTTTTGGAGCCTAAATGAGCTTTTCCTAGCCTCTATAACATCTTTACTTTAACAACCTAATTGACTAATCTAAAAGTGGGTTAATTAACAAACGTAGACAATCGATTAATTACTTTATATCTTTAGTTACATAGAAGTTTTATTATATTTATAAAACTGAATAAGCATCCCGAGAAAAACTATTTTCATTTATTTCAATTAAATTTATGCATAGACAAAAGCAAAGATATTTCGATCCATTTTGTGTCTCCTTTTTAAAAATCCCTTAAAAATTTGGCCTGTTAAAGTAGTTCTTTTATGTTTTTTGCACGTTTATTTTTACATTTTGATTTGACAGTATTTATAATTCTTTCCTTTTAACAAGCATTGACGTTATGAGTTATGCTTACCAAAAATGTCTATCGTTTCAGAATTTTTAACTTCGAAATAAACGTTGCAGATCATTATTGTTAATACTGTCTTCTTTCCACGTATATATTATCATATGTGTGAAACGATAAGTGAACTAATTCTATCAGACGCGCTAATAAATCATGCCATCTCAAAGCTTTTCAGTCATATTCAGCACATAAATAACAATTTAAACAATTATTTGGAAAAAATCTGATCTCTATTATTACTAAAACATTTCCTTCTGAATTAGTTAAGTAGGAAAGTCACTAATTTAAACCAACTTTCAGTAAAGTTTGTTGACAAAATCTTATTGCTGTCTAAATGTTTAATTTTCAAACATTTTTAGTTGATAGGCTTATATAAAATAATTCTTATTTGTATATATTTTATGTCCATATGAAGAATTATCTACATTGACAAGTGTCTTACTTTATTTCACGGGGCGAAAACCGCTAAACCCGCAAGACTGTTCTGTCGTGAAGGTGGGATATAACCGGACATGGAAATGCATTAAATAACAAACCTCGTCAATTTTATCTGTGCTGCTATGTAATGCAATGATTTCAGTCTTTCCTCTTCAGTTATCAATAAATTTTTATTATATTTAAAAAATTTAATAAACAACCTGAGAGATCTATTTTCAATATTTCATTCAGTCTATATTGAAACAATAGCAATTTTCCATCTTTTGTGTATTCCCTTTTTCCTATTTCAAAATAAAAATTTTATACAAACTTTTGTAAAATTTACCGTTGAAATATTTTTAAGATTGCCTGATGTAAGGAATAGATTAAAATAGCAAATATTTTATTCGTATTCTCGGTTATGCTTTGAAGGGAACCATATCATAATGTATATATAAAGAAAGTTTAACTACAAATATAAAAACTTCCTAGCTTCATTAAATAAAAGACTTGAGCTTGTTGGCAAGGGTCACAAGAACAGAAGAAATATAAAAAGTAATGACTTTTTGAGCGACTGACTTATCAAATTTACTTAGAATTACGTTAGTCTATAGTTTGCATCATCTGGTACTGAATGACCTATATATTAAATATTATGCAGGGTGGGCGACCAAGACCCGAGGGGTTAAATGGCTGGATAGACTAAGACCTAAACTGTCCGGGACTTGGTCGGCTCACGTGTCCTGCATAAATCTCTTCTACCTGTTTACAAACCCCAAGATTTTGAGGCCATTTAACCTATCACTCTCTGCGAGGTAGTGCTTGCCGTTTCTTCTTTTATTTCGCAAAAACAGCAAAAGGGATCTGGTAGGATACCCATTACGAAGAGGTGTCTTCTCAGTGGGCAGTGGCCCGTCAGAATACCTATCAGCCTCCTAATTCCCTTTCTTGAAATAGAGAATAGCCGTTTCGATTCTGCTGATTTGATCGCCTTAACAAACTCTTTCGATTGCCTGTGTCCGGGGGATAGAATCCACGCCTAAAATAATTGCTTCATACCCCAGTTTTTAATACTCTCTTTCGCTGTGCTCATAGAGTGAGATAATACCGGTTGTGGCCCGAAAAAACGCAGTATTAGAGCCTTTTTTGGCCAGGCTATCCGCCTTTTCATTGCCATAGTGTCCTTTATGTGCTGGTATCAAATAAGGGTTACTTTGT